TGTTATAGCTATCATGGTTATATTATAGCCACTGTTATAGCTATAGCTATACCTATAGGTTATGGCTTATGCCTGACCTACCATGTGTGCAGTTGTTCAGATATCTCATTGTTTGCACGTTCTGTGCATCTTACATGCCTTGGCTTTTGCCTTTTTGTCTTCGGTCTTCTTGATGTGTCCTGAACGTCTCCTATTCGAACCTGCCAATACGTATACTTGGGTAATTTTTCGCCATGCTGGGTGCAACTCGTTGCCACGCCGCCACAGCAAGTGTATTGGGACTACACGTCCCGCCAAGTGCTGACATTGGAATATGTGCCAGGTAAGGTATGAAAAAAAGAGGATGACAAATTGAGAATGCAGTTGAATGGAGTATTAAATTATTAATAGTCTATTGTCGATTTCAGAAGAACTTTTCTCAAACATGTTTGCTGCCTGTGATTCTTGCTTGCAATGCATCTTTCTCAGCTCTTCCCCCCCTTTCCCCTCCTCCTCCTTCTTCTTCTTCTTCTTCTTCTTCTTCTTCTTCTTCTTCTTCTTCTTCTTCTTCTTCTTCTTCTTCATTTTCTCCTCCTCCTTTTTCTTAGTCTCCCTTCCACCTCCTCCTCCTCCTTCTTCACTTTCTTCATTTTCTCCCCTCCCCGCCCTCTCCTTTTTCTTCTTATCCCTTCCACCTCCCCCTCTTCCTCCTCCTTTATAATACTTTATATTCTTTTTTTAACCTTGAAAACTCGCCAGTTATTGCATTCATCAACTGAGCAACAGCTCGAGCCCTTTTGGATTAATTATATACTTTCTTGTCACCCATAGAGGGGGCCCAGTTCCTGAGGTCGGGTGCCCACTCCCCAACGCTCAGCGTATGGACGGACTGAATGCATGAATGGGGAGTGGGGGACTGGGTCGAAGGCGATGAAGGGAGGGACAAGGCACCTGACCTCAGAAACATGGTTGAGTTTAGGCACACCAACATCCACAAGGTGATGAAGGTTTACGTGAAGGTTCATATGAATGTTCTCCTCTGCAGTATTTTACAGATAGGAAGGCGTTGACTACAGTCTTCACCCGAATACAACGTACCGTCATTATAGCTGTATTTGGGGCAACTTTGAGTCTAGATACAGTGATAATGACCGTACGTTGACCAACACATGGGCATGCGTTGGTCAATGGTCAACCCCTGAACATCTGCAAAATACCGCAGGGGAGACTTCATATGAACCTTCACGTGAACCTTCATGTGAACCTTCACGTGAACTGCAGGGGAGACTTCATATTTTTGTCTCTTAAGAACTCTTCTGTTCCCTTCCCTGGGGAGAACCTTTACATGAATCTTCACATCAAATGTTGACGTGAATCTACTGGGTCCCTCTGTTTGTCTCCTAGAAAGTCTCCTGTTTCCTAAGCTGGCAAAAGAACCTGCAGGTGAACACGTACTCTGATTATACGGGGCGCTGGGCCCGGTTCCCAGCACGTGCTGCTCCCCACGAATAGATCGGAGCGTGTTTAAATAATAATAATAATAATAATAATAATTGAAAAAAAGGTCTCATCTTCAACTTCTCACACCCACGGTGGAGCAACTTTGCTGCTTGTCCTGGCAAGTAAGCATATATATATGACAAAGTAGAATTTGATGTACCCAGGGCAAGATCCCACTGGCAAAAGAAGATTGAATCGAGCACCTGAATCTGGATGGGTTTTAAGCAGAGATGCAGAAAAGCAGATTGATAGCTGTATTCCACAAACATGTCAAGATTCAGGCGTTTAATCCAATCCTCTTTGCTAGTAAGATCTTGCCCTAGGTCATCAGCTCGCACTGATAACGTCCTTCCCTATGCTGATTACGTCCCTGCCCTTCGCACACACCTTCTGTCGCTCCTACCTACGTACGGATTGCATGGTCCGGGGAAGTGTCTGGATCACGGTGATCTCAGCAGTTTGCCGCTGGGGCTGCTGTGAGAAGTTCATTGAACCTTGTCATCATTTAGATGAAGGAGAAGTTGTAACAGGTTTCCATAGGTGAACCTGCGCAAGGATCACTGGGAAAAAAAAAAAAAAAAAAAAAAAAAAACATTTGCTGATGGCTGCAGTCGTCGTCATTCCAACTAATTCAATTTAGAATTCTGGGCCTGGGATCCATGTATGACCGTGGCCATTTAGTCAACGAAGCCAGCTGATACTTCGCTTTTTTTTTTTTTTTTTTCACTTTTTTCAATCCTACAGCTGCCCATCTGTTCTGGGTCTCTCCCACTCCCCAGGTCCACCCATTATTTGTGATCTTGTGATCACCCACACCCATTGTGGCTGTTATTCCTGTTGTGCCATATTGTGGTTTTCATGTGGATGGGAGTGGGAGTCAGGTGTGCTCGGGCAATAATCCTGTTGTCAACAAACCCTTGTTGACTTTTTGTTGACTTTTTTGGACTTCGTCAAGTTCACTGTTTCTATTCTAAAAATAGGTTTTCCACTTGGTGCATTTTCCTATCTCGAGAACCAAACTGCTCTTGGGATAACCAAAGTCAACCGAACTGCTTTTTTTTTTTTTTTTGTCTAGCTGTTGCTACACACTGAATGGTGTATGTGTGCGTATGTGTGAGCACGGTTCATGATGTGAGTGAGGGTCAGTCAGTCGCATTTGTGGATGCAGTCATTGCATTCATCAATGGGGCTGGTAAGTTTGTCCGTTGGTCGGTTGGTTGCAGCATTGGTTGGTT